AGACCCCCGCTTATACGTAAATTGCATAATCCTATTTCCCATTGTATAACCTGTATCCTTCACACCTTCGCGTTTCGGTGCGTTCTGGTTCCTTGTTGTCCATCGTCGCGTCATAGCCAGCCACCATCAATCCGTTTAGCTGTGTGTTGGATTACGTATATCTTGGAGTAGGCTTCGTCGTCTTGTCACCTCTAACAACGTTAATCGTACATGCAACTTTGGTTGCCTATCCTTGACGCCGTCAATCTGTTCGGTAGATACAATCGCTACAAATTTATTCTATCGAGCTGGTCCTTCAAATCATTAAAATACCCTACAACATTAGTTATAAATTTATTTATTTTATACAGCATTGTAAATACATTGTATTAATAAACTTTCAATATATAAAACGGTATTATACATAAATTATTGTTTCTTATTGATAAATTAAAACTGTTATTGATTCTTACAGAAAGGTTTAATGGGTTGTATAAAAATTTATGACAACCATACACATAGCATCAACACAGCAGAAAGCCTTAGATATTTACCAGCTAATAATGATGTAAAAAACTTATTTTATGAGTATTTTGACAATGGTATAGGCATAGGTAGAAGACTTGAATTTTTAATTCACATTTTAAAATATTTTAACTATTAAATTTTGATAAATATTTTAACTATTATAATATGTATACATTTTAGATTCTGAACGAATTGATGAATATATTGATTTTATAATGATGTGTTTTTTTTATATATTATATATTATTTACAATTATTTCAATTATTTTTTTATTTTTAGTTACCATAACCAACCTTAAGGGTCTTAAATACATAAAAACATTTTAACAACATTATAATATATTAATTATTAAATATTTTAATAAATAATTAATGAATAAATATTTTTTTTTTTTGGAAATACAATTTTCGTGATAACAGATAATTGATAGCGAAGTCGTTATCTCATTTAGACTAGAGCCAATCGTAGGACTGTATTTCCTTTGGCTTCTCTAACAATGTACACTATGCTTATATGCGACCCGTAGTTGTCTCTTATAAAATACGTCCCCACAAAGGATGTTTGGTAACGGCATGTTTTGTTGAAAATCAAATGATATGACGTCTATTTCACTATTTTCTTACTAAGCTTTTTCAGATTTTTGTATATTTGTCCCTTTTGGGGATTTTCACTTTAACGCCCGGCACTTTTTGGAATTTCCTATTTACCGCCCGGTATTATAGGGATTCCCACTTAACCACCAGCTGTTCGGGAAAAGGTCGCTTTCCAATGCTTCGGTTGAGCTATCAAAAATCAAACTTCCGGTGCAGGCTTGACAAAAAATAGTATGTGTGGCAATTTCAGTCTTGAGCAAAATGGGGCCCTATCGCTTACTTCTCGTGCCACACACGTCGAAATAGCTCATTTCCCGCCTTTGCCACACAATATACTGTAAGCTATCGTTGGCAGCACTGATACTTGATCTCCGCCGTGTGGCTCGACCCGGCCGCCTTTATCCATGTTCCCCCTGTTTTGTCTTTATCGCCGAGCACGACAAAATTGTCCGCGGACGAACCGCCGTTGTACGTTTTTATATATTTTTTTACGCCTTGAGTTTAATTTAATATATTAATGAACCGTTCACTTAATTAGTGTGTACTTTTTCTCTATCCTGGTCCTGACTTACCAACGTAAGTAGCCTTTTAAAATATTTGTTCTTTCAATACTATATTATATTATTAAATTGATAAAAAGTGCGTTTAGGTTTACGAGTTTTAATGCTTTATTAAAGTTTTTCACTGCATTTATGGACAAGGGGGGTTAGTTTTAGGGGGTTAGTTGCATTTATAGCCAAGCTCTTTTTATCAGTCAGTATTCAGTCCACATAGTTCGTGCGATGCTCACTTTTATGTTTAAGTACATTTTGTTTCATATTAAATAAAGTTAAATATATTAAAATGTCAAACAGTATATTGTTTATAATGTTCAAAATACAACATGGTGTCAGGTGTTGATTCGTCAAGCCTTAAAAAAAGAAGGATCAAGCAGATAAACGTGGATCACAATATGATGAATCAATGTACCGCCGTTAATGCGCGCGGGGTGGTGGTATGCACAGCTGGTATCGAACTACGCTGCCACTGCCTACGGGCGCAGCACTTGCCGAGCGTAGGTAATTTTCTGCAGTTTTCTTATAAAACATACTTTGCGCGTTCCAATAATATGGGTTACTGAGTGGTTTAATCGTAAAAACACCTATGAACAAAATTGTAGAGGACAACTTTATCTGGTTCCGTAAGAAGCCCGATTTTTGATATCTTTAAAACATCATGAAATATATCATGATTAATAATACATTTTTTTTTAATTTTCCGGAAGTTAATTTTAGGACTTAGAAAAGACAATTTCAAAAATCGGGCTTCTTACTGAACCAGATAAAATTCTTCTCTACAATTTTGTTCATAGGTGTTTTTATGATAAAACAACTCAGTAATCCATATTATTGGAACGCGCAAACATGTTTTTAAAGGAATTTTTCGAGTGATTTTTTTGGTTGACACGACCTCTTAACGTGAAGTATCAGTTTTCAACTTTTATTAAACATGTATTATAAAATTATAAGATAACTAAAAAATATGGTGTTGTCCGAATTGAACCCACATGTCCGAAGACACCCTTTTTTACGGTAGTCATAAGTACAAGAATCTTTTGTTCAGACATTTTTAAGGGGCGCCCACTGTGGACAAAGTCTGCGCACGCCTATGATAATAATATATCGGTATAAAACAATCGTTCAACAAAACACGTATAAATGTTTAATATGTATGGTGTATCGAATAGTAACGAGCTCAGACTTGATGTGAACAAATATATATAGGTATAAAATAACTAGATATAGTGTTTTACGGTTTATATTATAATTTAATTATTTACACAAAAATAAAAATAATATTTATGAAATATACACATAATATGCACAAATGTAAACATGTAATCGTACAACCTATAAAATCTAAAGAGGGTCATGGTTCAAAATAATGCGTAATATATTTTCCAAAAAACGGAAAAAACATGAATAATTAAAGTAGCAACCTTAGCGTACGCAGTGCAGCCTGTGGCCGTTTGATCATGCGACTCATTTTGGTACGTTTTTTCATCTGGGCGGCCTTACGAGTATGGCCTCCTTATTCCCATTATCATGGTCACTATGATACTATAACGACGATTTTTCGGACAACTGCACCCAACTCCGATTACTTCCCTATCTATGGTCCGATGATTGGTGCACTTGTCGTACGCCGTACGAGCTCTCTCGCAGGTATAAAATAATATTATATTGTTATGTACACGTCGCAACAAAAAATTAAAGGTTAGGGTGGTTTGCTGGTTTAATTATCAGGGAAAATTCGTGTTGTAAGCAGTGTGTTAGTCGCAGTACATACGGGAAACCATAAATCAGTTCGTTTTTCGATCATCGGCTAGTTTTATAATACGTACATACACGTGTTCGCGGATCTTCATTATTCAGATAATCAGATCTGTGTGTCTGACTACGGTAGATAGGTAATTAGGTAAATACTATGCGCTTTGTTTTATTCTTAAGATACCTAATCATATTGTTTTCCAATAATCCAATAATTCATCTATTTTATTTTATTTTGTAGTTGTTTATTTAATTTGTAATACCTAGGTATACCTGAGATTTTAATAACCATGTATTAGTAAGCCGTGTATTTTTATAGTTTTTATATTTTTTTTGGAAACCGAATGTAATGAATAGATAGGTTGGTACTAGGTACATTCTTTGCCCTTATTAATATTGAAGTGTTAATAACGACATTTTATGTGGTTATACATAGTTAACGTGAAAATAAATTATCCAGTAACACCTGTTATTTAAATGAAAAAGAACATAATATGTTTACAATTTCTGATAGCTAATGTTTCACTCTTCCATTCAGACACTATCTTATATATTGTTGTGAAGTAAACAATAATTAGTACCTACGGGCTACAACATTATCAGATAACTTTTTAAAGAAAAATGTTTGTTGATTACTGATTTAGATATTTCCTGCAATTTAGTGAGCATGTTTTTTTATATTGAAAAACAATATATGTAGGTAGTCTTCACTCTTCTTAAAAATTGACAATAGTACAAAATAAAATAGGTAGGTAAGTATTTTGTTTGCAAATAAGTAGATTTTAGGTATAACGTTTTCAATAGGTTTTAATAAATATATAAATTGTAATTTTAAAAATTTATAAATCAACTGGTTAGGCCAACCCACCAATTATCTTTGTTCTGTATTAAAATGATCTTCTTATATAAGGGTATAGGTAACCGATTAAACAAATTAGTGTAATACAACATGAATAGAAAACTAGAGGTGATATTTTTAAAATTTTACCCATTATTTCCTTGTTGTATTAAATGTGCCAGGTTATATATTATAATACAAATATATTAAATACATATTTATAATGTATTCAGACTCTAGCTCATCTGTAATTTTATCTGGAAGAATATATTTAACAAATATTAGTTAGTAATTTATTTTTATTACTATTTATTATTTATTAATATAAAATTATGAACTTCAATAATGCTTGCAATAAAAAAAAAAAAAATTGTTCCTATGTGTCTGATATTTTTTTTTATTAGATAGCATAGGACAGGGTTAGTTGGGATGGGCTGGCAATCTGTGGCCCACTGAAAATCATTTAAATACTTCTTATATTTTTAATAATCAATAATAAAACCACTTCTAGATTCTGAGTGGAGCAAGGGATGTATTGATTTTACAATGATATGTGTTTTTTTTTTTTATCTTTATAATAAATAATAATATTTTCTCTAGAAAATATAAAAACCAAGAAATATTGCTTATTATTTTGCAGTTAATAATATTCATTCAATTTTTAAAATGTATACCTAAGATTTGAAAATTCAAAACCAGGTTCTACAACTGTACAGCAGAACTGTAATACCTACTTTTTATCTTTACAGACTATGGCCAAAATAGCAACGCCCACGACAAAACCTTTTTACGTGTTCAATGGCTTCGAAGCTGGGCTAAAACCTAAAGTTATAATCAACATGAAGAATTACAATGGTCAGAATTATTTCCTCATAAAATGGTGGAAAACAAAAGATCCAACATTTGTGAAGTCAGAAGTAGCTAATGCAAGATGCCCGTTACTTGTGTGCAAGTTTTACCAGAAACACACAATTTTTAAAGGAGCTACAATATTATTTAAAGGTAAACGTAATTTAACTTAATTTTATTAATTATAATATATTTTTTAACTGCTTACAATGGTTTATATTGAGTAAGTCACGTACCTATAGGCACGCATCGTTAAAATTTAATGAAGTAAAAAATAAACTTTTAATTGCAAAACTAGTACAACTGTGATGATACCTATCTAATTTGTCATGATATTATGTACAACTAAAATTTTTATTACCTACCCGCCATTACGAGTCGCCGATATCGACTTACGTATTATTACAAGTTATCAGTATAATATTAATTTATTATGCACCATCCTATTAACAAAAAAAAAAAAAATAAATTTACTATAGGCAAACATTTATATTAGGTAGTTATAATTGTATAAATCTTTATGCCTGTTTGGTATATTTGAGTATTTTCTTACAAACCTAATTAGCTTTTGAAAATTGTATAAAACAATTAATGCATTAAAAATATGTTTCCCTATTTAATTAAATATGTTGATATCGACAATGAATTTATTATTTAAGAGGTATACAATAAAAGGTAATGAATATTGTTGAATATGTATTCATGTGTCATTTCCAATGAAAACAATTTTTAATTTTAAAAAAGTTTTACTGTCACATATCCAATGACTAAAAATATTTGGTCTCCGGACTCCTGGTAAAAGTACAGAAATATGTATTTTAATAATACCTAATGACTAACAGTGTGAACAATACATGTCAACATGTTTAACACATATTATATTATAGTATATAGCAGTGGTCTTCAACCTTTTTGGACTTGCGACCCACTTTTTTAGGCCTACATTTTTTGCGACCCACGTAAGCTTTTTTAATAAAAGCTAAATATGCTTAATAATTTGCAGTAGTACTATTAAAACTGAATAAATACAAATTAAATTTTAGTAGGTAGAATATTTAATTATTATTAATTGAAAATGTATAGAATTTATATGAAGTAATAAAATTAAATAAAAATATGATACAAACAATTTAATTTGAATTATTTTCTTACCTTAGGTACATCATTTTATAAATTTAATTTTTATTTTAAAAAGTAGAAATTTCAAATCTTGCAAGTCCCAAAAATGGATCGCAACCCACCGTTTTTAGAAGACCACTGGTATATAGGTTTCACATCTATGGCAATGATGTTATGATGATTGTAAAAACTTAAACAAACTATTAACTTTATAGTTTACGTCACATTTTAATTTTGTGGTAACTTACCTATGGCTATACATATACAATAAATATAAAAAAAATAAAAATAAATTAATATATATTTAAAATATAATATGGTTCCATTACATTAGTCAACATTATTCTAACATATTTTCTTGAAAATAATATAGGTTTTTGTTATTATACGTTCTCTATTTTATGATGTTCTAAATCTTTAGTTTATTATTTATCGTTCGACAGTTTATTCAAACCTTGCAATGAAAACAATTTTGGTCTTATTTTCAAAAACGTTTTGAAATATATGCCACTTTATTTATATTAAGTCAGTTTATTCTTTGACATCTATCATTATGCAGTTCTTTGATGAGAGCAACTTTAAACTATCCAACCACTGGTGAACAAATTAATGGGTTGTTTTTAATGAACACAAATTTATGATATACCTAGGTACATCCCACATAGCAATAATATGAATTCTACTTATTTTTAAAATATCATTCACAAACTACAAATATTTATTTTTATTTTTATTTTTATGCAATCCGGCATATTAGTACATATTTTATATATTAATATTAAACTACATAAATATGTTATCAATAAATACAATTATTGAAATAAGAATTTAAGAACATTATTTACTGCTATTATAATATTATAATCTATTTTTTACCATTTTTTTACAAAATATATTGTCAGAAGACAGCTTTTCTTCAAAAGTGTTTAATTCTTCAATTGTTGTTAATGGAAAGCAATACACATCATCTTCTATGTAATTATTATCTGCATTGTTGGAACGTGGAATAGAATGACAATTGTCTGCAATATTCATCATGGTGTTTTCTGAAGAGTCGATTTTTTTACTCAGTTCTCTTATTTCATATTTAAGATTTCCAGTTGAGCGTACCAGTTGATTTACAACGTCTACAAAGTATGATAATTAGTAACATAATTAGATAAACATAATATTATAATATAATATAATAAATACAATGATAGACATATAATAAATATTAACATATTAGGATATTATATAGGTGTTATAATATACTATTATGAAGAAAAATAGACGATAGAATGTTTATAGATATAAGATATTGTTTACCTATAAGTGTCGAGTAATTGTTTCCTGTTTCAGAATTTGAGTCATTCTTATTCATATTATTGTCACCTGTAAAATTAGAAATATTATTTAATTCACAATATAACAAAATAACTTGAAGGGTACTAAACATAATATTAATTATGTATATTAATAATTTAACAGTTTAAAATTTTAGAAGCAAATTAAAGGAACTTTATCACTAAGGTTAGATTATTATTTAAAAACTACAATAGAAATACACTTTATCATAAATATATTTTAAATTAAAAATAATAGTTACTTGTGAGAGATGACAAATGTGATTCAAAGTATCCGTTATTTCTAATTTTTTTACTATTACTATTAGGCAAAGATAATAGTGATTTGGAGTTTCCGTCTCGTCTCTCTTCATTTGTAATAATTTCAAAGTCTGATGTTGAGTTAGATGGAACTTGAAATAGAAACATATAAAAAAGATTCTTTGTTACTAAATTGAATAACATGGACAATTTAATAAAATGTTTATATTATATTTTAATAAGTAATTCTTACCTTTTTTTAGTTTTCTTAGACTTGGCGAATAATTTGGTGATTTATTAATTGATGATTTGGATATACTGGGTGTATGTGTATTAGTAAAATCAAGTCTTTTTTTACTGGTTCCAACTATCATGGTATTATTATCTATTTTAGATACATTCCATTTCCCTGATGGAGAATTTAATACATTATCATCATCTACTACATCACCTATAATAAATCAAAACAAATTATTTTAATTATAACTTTTTATTCACTATTTAATAATATAAACAACATACTAATAGAACTAAAAAAAAAAACATAAATTACATATTCTAACAAGTAGTATAATTGCAACAATCCATAAATTCTACAACCATCTTAATTTCAAGGACACTTTTTATTATTAGATATAACAGCAAAATATTCAATGCCCAAATTTTGTTTATTTAGAATAAGTAGTAGTAAAATTATATATATATATATATATACACCTATATTACATCCTTGCAGGTAAGAAATGTCTTAGCTTTAGTATAAACCCACAACCAGTTTATTTTAGAAGAATAAAAACGAATGATATAATTTTATATGAAAATACATAAAAGTAAAGTATCATGCATTTAATTTTATACCTGAATGATGATTTTTTTTATAATTATCAGGAATATAATTTTTGTCTGCATCACTGTCATCATAGTCACTAAAATTCTCTCCATTATAAGGTACCACTATAAATTATAAAATATAAATAACAAATCTTTAGAAAAATTAAAAAATTAATTTTTTTCTATACTGAGGATTTTGTTCATTGAAAATATTATATAACACATATTCAGTCACTAACTTTTCCACCAAACTATAAATTAATCAAACATTTATGAAGCAAATAAAAATATAAAAAAATGTATTACCATCACTACTGTTGAGTACAGGAGGATCTCCAATAGAAATTCCTTCAGAATCATTAAAATTTCTATTTCTTGACTGCTTTGGCATCTTAGTTTTTTCTTTATGTTTAATGTTATAAGAGTAATCAGGTTGACGGTGCCGTTCACTTCGAGTTGACTTTTCATTTTCAAAAGTAGATAATTCTGATGTTTCTTCAGCAATTTTTAGTTTTGCCCGTGCATCATGTAAACTAACTAAAATAATAATATTAACATTAAAACAGTGAAACCAGGTAAATAATTGGTTATAGTCCTTACCAATATTGTGAGACATGGACCTTGCCTTGAAATAGTAAAAATCTATTTCATTAGGTTCAATACGGCGATCAACAAATTTTTTATAATTTTTTATACTCTTTTTTGGCCACGCACAACAACCATTTTTAAACCAATAATCAGGAACTATTTCGACGCAGTTTTCCTCTTCAAAACATACAATAGTCCACGGCATGATAAATTAAAAATATAATATACAATATTTACAAATCTGAAATATGAATATAAATTTACATTTAAACATTTATTCACAACACTACTAAAAATACTAGTTAGGTATACGCTTAATAATTAAAAAAAAATATTTAAATATATTTTAGTAAAATAAGTTAATTGTTTAACAAAGGCATTATAATATATATACCCACATTATTTGAGACAGTATAGTTCAATATTAGATCTGTTACCTAATATTCAAGTCAACTTAGCCACCATTTTATGAAAAAAAATATAAGTTAGGGTAAGGTAATTTTATTATAATTTTTAGTTGATTACTTAGTGATAAGTTTTGTATTTTAAAATATATATTACTAGTTTGTAAAAATCAGAGTATTTAAATAGTTTTGCTATATTCACCTTAAAAAAAAAAATATTAATTACTGTCCATCAATATCATGAATAATTGGAATGGCTATCTTTTGTCCATTCAATTCCAATAACATCATTTTATTTTTAATACAATTATAAGACCAGTATTTATGAGTTAGCGACAGGTTATTAACTTCATAAATGTTTAATACAATTGATGGAATAGGCTTTTCATAAAAAGGTTTTTTAATTTCAAATACTTTTCCAATAATAACAATTTCATTTGTCTTATGTAAGCTTACTATATTTTCAACTTTTATTATATCATTAGAATCATTTAATATAAACGAGTCAGCATTGTTTCCAACTTTAATTTTAATATTTTTTAAGTATAACTTTTTATATTGAAATCCTATAAGATTTTCTAAAAGTGGTCCATCAGTGTGTTTATGTTTTAATTGTTCACAGTTTTTCAAATGTTGTTCAGATGTTTTTCCTTCAATAAAATGTCTTTCATTACATCGCCTTATAATTTGTTGAAGTGGTTTGTCGTGTTTACGTATCATTTTTTTTAAACTTTTTAAATAATTCTCGAATGGAAAAGCTGCAATATTATCTAAAGGTCCAAATCTTTCATAGTCATCACTCATCACTAATATGAACTAGCCCATGAACATTAAAAGACATAAAATGTTTTCCATATAAAGTTTCAAAAGTTTGAACAAAGTAGTATAATAAATTTTGAGCATATTTTACATAGTTGCCCATGTTGCTAGTTAATAAAATATTCATAGCTATACTTAATGCCATAAAGTGTTTATAGCAATTGTTATTTAAAATATTTTTAAAAACAACTTGACCCGTATAAACTAATATTTGTCGTAATTCGGTAGCTTTGAATCGATTTAAATCATTTAATCCTCTTGGTTTTCGGGAAAATTCACATGGTATGAAGGGTCTTAATGACAAAAGTGATGAAGATAATTGCTTGGATACTGAGCTTGGTAATCTTACATTTAAAGGACCTTTGGCAACCCATAAATGTAATAATTTGCGCATAATACCAAGACAGGTCAAATGCATGTAATCGAGACCAAATGAGCTAATAATATTAATAGGCAATTCTTCCAATATAGAAATTGAATTTTCAACATGATGTTCTTCATAGTTTCTATTAATATAATCAATGTGAGAACGTTTTATCATAGTAGAAGAATAAGGAAAACAAGTTCTGTTTTTTAAGTACTCCCCTTCTACTGTACAGCGGGTACAAGAATCAAATCCAGAATGTCCCTTTATCTTTAAAATAAAACTTTTTGCTGGAGCATCTAAGCTAAAACCGTCTATTTGAACTTGTTTAGTAATACCATCAATAGTTATACCACAATTGGTCAATATTTTGGATTCATCGACAAATTTTCTTAAAAATTCATTTGAATCTTTTGGTTTTTCATAACCCCAATATATGCCGATAGGAAAAACTTTATTCTTTAGTGGGCGTACATAACCAAGAATAGGCCATAATTGACTACTACTACTTTTGGCTAAGGGTAATCCGTCAATTCCAATCACTACTTTAATGACTTCAATATTATCTATTGGACTATACTTAAAATGTTGTTTTAGAGCCAAACCTAAACCAAAATGATGATAAAACCCTGGATCGACAGCATGGATACTTTCAGTAGAATCCATGGCTCTAATGTTTAATATTGTTCTTGCATCTTTCGGAATTTCTGCAAGGCCAGGTATACTTTTAAAAATAGGTAACAGTCCATTTACTGCATTTTGGGGTATATTAAAATTAACTGCCCATTCAGCTAATTTACATTTAATTTCTGAGCATAGGTCAGTATGCACTATAGGAAGTTGTTCATCATGATAATAATTATTAATATCATTATGAATAGATAATGTTTCATCTGATGTTTCAAGAGAGTCAGTATTTTTTTCATTTCTATTTGAATACTTTTCTGAAGTATTAGCTGGTAATTGAACGGCACCCTCTGTTAGTACTAGTTCTGCAACAGAATCTGATGTACTCTTATTTTCAAAATAACTGTTACTATTAGTATAACTTTCTGTTTCATATAAAATAAAATCAACCTCTTCCCTGATCCTACGTCTCTTAGTTCTTTCACTAGACATAATACCTACTACAAATTAAAATTCCTAAAAAACGTATACATTTATTAATATCATAAGTAGTTAAAGCGGTGATTTTTAATAAGTATTATTTTTGGTTTTTGTTCTATAACATATTTTGTTAAATTTAATTGTTTTTACTTCTATATGATTAAAGTTTGAGATGTTATTTTTATTCTATACCTAAATTAAAACTATTTTTGTTTTAATTAATTTCTATTAACAAATAAATTAATACAAACTTATTTTTGGTATTTATTGTTAAATAAAAATAATTACAAATATTAACCGATCAACACTATAGGTACAAAAATTAACAAATAAATATGAAATTTGTGAGCGTGTCAAGAATGTTTTGTTGTTAGTATATTAGTATTGAGTACTTTAGTATGTAGATAAATGAAATATAATATACTCAACGGTACCTAGGTATTAGTTATTTAGTCATTAAAAATGGAAAAATGGTTTAATCATATTAATTATAAAATGTAAATGTAATATATGCGATGAGCTTTACGTTTTTATTGTAAGTATAGGTATTAGGTACATACAGTTTAATTATTTTTAAAATTATCTTTAAAACTTAACCCTTCCAACATAAGGGAGTGTTGTAGCTAGGTATAACCATTTAGGTACTATGTATTTATATGCTGCAATTAAAAATCATACCTATATCATTGATTATATTATATTTAGAATATTTTCAATATACCTAAATACTAGCTGGTATTGGGTTAGAGAAGATGAATCATCTCCTTTTTGAATGGCTTTTATTAATACAATATTTAAGTTATGATACGTCAGTTGAAATTCTTTGACTTGGTTTTGGTTAGATGATAATAGTAACTGATTGAATACATATACATATTATAATATACCTACCTAGCCGGGTTATTCGTTATCCTTTATAAAATCCTTTTAGTAATAATATTTTAAGAACAAAAAATTACCTATTTGGAAAAGCGATATTTTGGCCTGGGGTGGATAATAATATTAGTAAATATAATTTATATTATTGTACTATAATAAGGCGCAAGTATAGCGTTTTCTACTATTCAACATGCTATACTAACTATACCTACGCGTAAGCTGCCAGTTGCCAGTAGCTAAAGTAAAACGTCCATATTTTAAGCTAAATATATTATGAACAATGAACTTACCTTCAATTAAACGTTGCGCGGTATGGTATTACTTTACGCTTAACACAATTAAGTACAACTCAACAGACACTCAACACTGGAACAGACTACAGAGTACAGAGGTCTACGTTAGTCGTTACTCGCGGGCAGGGTCACTCATGCACTTTGCGTTTGCAATCGTCGTCCGTCGATTGAATTTTGATAATAATAATATAAAATTAAAAATAATATAATAAATATAAAATATTACATAACCAGTTATTATCTAACCATAGTTGCGGTCACAAAACAATGATATTATTATACACACGATTGCGGGTCGTTGGGTAAACGGCATGTCGACAACTCGGAATCGTTTATCAACTGTTGAGGATGCGGGTAGCGCAAGCCGCAAATATTAATGACAGTAATGTATAAATACTATTAGTGCCCAGTTTTAATATTTAATAATAATAATATTAATATTATACTCATGAGTCATGGGCCGTGGCGGCTACAATATATACTAGAATTTTATAATTAAATCACATAAACAAACAATAAATAATGTTCATCCGCGGCGTAAACAAGATACCCACCCAATCCTTGATGTTTATAACGGCATTTCCAACTCTTAAAAAATTTAAAATTTACAAAATATGCATACATTTGTAACGATTTGTATAATCGGATATGATATTTCTATGGTATACCTAGTAACCTAGGTAGCTAGGTATTTTGTGGCAGGGGGACCACCTATCAACCAACAATTTTGAAGGAGCAATTGCTCCAAAATAATACCTTGGACACGCCACTGGCTGCTCTGATATAAACCAATGCATTTTTAATTCAACGGAAAACGCTACAGAAAACGCGGCGTTCGAAACGCGGTGGAATACGCAGTCTATAGCCCCGGCCTTACCATCAAGTTTCATAATAGCCAATAGGTCGAATCATTATAATTTTTAAACTAACAAAGCCAAACGTGAATTAGGTACTGATCGTTATTTTCTATGTATTAGGTACGCACTTACAAGACGAAGACAACAAATGCGTGTGTATATATCGTAGTTCTCCTGACTCCTAATAATATGTTATAATATGATGAGTGATGACAGCTGATCACAGATGGAATAGGCAAGCTCGGATTAAGAGGGGCCACGTACCCGGGGCCAACGTATGTAAAGGGTCCACATAGTCTTTTAGGCTTAAAATTACATTGAGTGGTAATTTGTACTTTTATAGTCTTACAAGAATAATTTTTTTTCTTGTTTGAACTAACAGGCGTTCGTTGTGGCCCGACATCCGCCTACCATGTTTACCACCACGGGCATGGTAATAATGGGGGCACATGGCTATTTTTTCTTTGGTGGGTGCCCAGTGCCCACAACCATGTATTGGCCCCTGGGCCCCTGAAGGTCTAGGCCCTAGAGAGTAGTATACATTTGTATGTTTTAAGCTCCTTTTTTACAGGGAGATTCCTTCAGTTTAAGCGGGCATTTCTATACATGCTCCACCGTGTAACACAACATTTTAAAAAGTATGATTTTTAAACAGTTTATGTGATCGTGTAACACACAGAATTGTGTATAGGCCGTATTTATATCGTTTGTTACACAAACAAAATATCTATATTATTATTTTTAGTTAAGTAGTACCTATATGTCCCTTTTTTAAGTATAAAAGAACAATTTGATAAATATATATTATTTATTAAATATTATTTTATTTACTAAAACTATTATATAATATAAAAAATCACATAAATATTTAGTTTGTGTAACAATTCTGTTATGTGTTATACACGATCTCACATAAACTGTTTCAAAATCATACGGTTTAAAATGTTGTGTTACACGGTGGAGTATGTAGAAATGCCCACGTAAATTGAAAGAATGTCCCTGTAAAAAGGTGCTCAGAACATACAAATGTATACTACCTACTCTATTGATGGTGCTTGGAATATGTACTTAAGTATTAGTTATTAGTGTAATACTGTAATAGTGTTATAATAAGGTACCTACTTATAATGTACAATATAGGTGTCTTAAATGAAAAAAGGGGGATAACTGATAAGTGTGTACCGCTGTGCTGTACAGCCAGTATTATTTATTGGCGTATGTAAGATTCCGTTTCGAATTGGAGTTGACATTGCGTTGTGTCGCAGATGGAACGATTGTTAATTTGATTGGACGATTTCTGCTTGTCGGTTTCCGGGTTTCCTATGTTTAGATATGATTTTTTTGTAATGGGGAACTACTTATTACTTATTACTATTAGACATTAGTACATTTTATGGTGTATGATGTATACCTATTGCTAATTGCTATATTAAAGTAATTTACTAATTTATATTCATTTTATAGGTAGTAATATTTATAGTAGTAGAGGTTAAACTAATTTTTGCTAAAAACATAATTGCATTTTAAAATGTAGGTGTACCTATATAAAATATAATGATATCTATATTTACATGGTAGATTTTACGTTGTAATAGTTTGAACTGTTTGAAGGTCCACTAATAATAATATTTTTTGTTTAAAATTATAATTTTGTCCAGAATTGAAATTCAAATGTCTATATAAAAAAAATTGTGGTTACATATTTTTTAGACTTCAGTATAGGTATAAACTATGCATAAGTAACTTATATTATTATAAGTGTTAAGTTGTCAAGTCTTTGCTATAAAAATTGAACATTATATAAAATAAATAACAATACCTATATTACTATTAGGTAGGTACAAAATGATTTCCAAATTTTCGTGATTTTGACAAATTTTATCAAATTTTAAACTTAAAATGCTAGTAAAAAAATAACCGTGAGTATGTATCTTTGATATTTTTTTATTGATACCTATATGAACAATACTTATTATGAGGAAGTTATTGTATTAAATTTTAAATCTTTTTCACCAAATAAAAAGTTTTTTTTGATGATATTTTTAAAATTACACACCATTGTAAAATCAATGCATTCATTCCTCCGCTCAGAATATAAAATTCAAACATCTTTACTTATTAATCTACATTATAATATTATTATATTATCCGAACAATTTAATTTGAAACAATATAATTATAATATTTCTGTGCAATAGTTATTACTTATTAGTTATTACATATATAGCGCGTATAATTATTATGAATAAAAATTATAATATTTCCCATTTTATGTGATATATATTTTTTTTATATTGATCTTAAAGCCCGGAAACTAGGCCATTAGCTGTTTTGTTTTTTTGGTAGGGGAGGGTAGGAACAGTAGGTTTTTGGAACACTTGGGTGTTTGTTTTTGGCAGAAGTTTTTAGTGGGCACCCATAGGTATCTGCCCGGGTGGGGGACGGCGGCAATTCTCTTCAGATACCGTGCTGCCCGAAGAAAAATGCCGCCCATGGCCGAGATTCGAACCGGCGACGGTGCCACTACGTCCCCCTTATATACATTATATTTTATTTTACCACCTACATACTTTCCCACATAATATAATAATTAATAAATATTATATATAATCACAATATTATTAAATTCGAACATATTTTTAAAATATGTATACTTTGGTTAGAAAATATTCTAAATTTATATCCTATAAATATAAGAGAGTTATCTTATAAAATGTATTTTTATAATGTCATTATAAAATATTTGGAAAATATGAATCTATTATGATAAAAATATAAATTACTTAAATGCTTTTAAGTACATTTTAAAAATATATTAAGAAATATATTTTCTCCGTGACCACGAAAAGATGTTTTGTAAATATTGTCATCTTTTGATTGCTGTGTGGGATTAGTAGTCACTGGAGTATTCTATTGAAATTAAATGTATCTGTACTTACAATTTTTATTGTTTGGAAAAATTACACCAAATAAACGTTTTTTACTCAATAATAGTACAATAGTACCTACCAACCATTTTGTCAACCGTCAGGAATCTTACTACATGGTATTATATTATACCGTTATCACGTTATATATTGATAATAATATATATTACTAATATATTATTTCAACATACCATACCTATACATATTGTATTAATTGCAATTCATACCTTTATTATCCGTATAGGTAGGGGTAGGTACTACATTAACTACCTACTGATTTTTTTTTATAAAAATACAATACTAATTAATATTAATAATTTGCAGATAATGAGTGAAATTTGTGAAGGAGTCTTCTGTACCTGTAGAGCATTCAATATACTGCCCATAATTATGAAGAATTTTGTAATATATATTTAGTATATCATATCTCTAACAAAATTAAATTATATTAATATTAATCTAAACACAATACTACTGTCTAGTTAATATACTTGTATAGTAATATAATATTATATGTACCAAAAAATTTAGCCGACCTCTGTTATTTATTATGTATAATGCATGTATTGTAATAATTATGCACCCTTCAATGTATGTATAAATGTTCAAGTACAGTACAACCATGAACTAAAATAATACTATAGTAATGGTCTTAAGATGTAAAAGGTTTTAAATTTATTTTTCAAATGCTGATAGAAACCTAATTGTATCTTATAATATTCCTCAAAATGTTACATAACATATTTTTTAATTTACCTGTTTATAGGTACTTAATCTTTTTTACGTTCATTTGTCTTATGTCACAATATCAGTGAATTCTATTTATTTTAACAATAAACCATTCTAGAACATTGGTTTTCAAACTGGGTGCCGCAAGCATTCACTGAGGTCTTTCGGATAGTTCAACTATTTGTTAAAGAATAAAATTATAAAAAAATGTTGGCTCATCAAGCACACATTTCTAATTAAATGCAGGTACATATATAATTATAATTCAAAACAATTTTGTTCATCCAATTATTTAGTGCAAAAAAAAAGTCACTGTGCAGTGAAAATTTATTGAGAAGCACGGTGTGCCGTGTTTAATAAAAGTTTGAAAACCACTGGTATAGAATCTAGAGGTATTGGCATTTGCTTAGCTATGGTACGTGCTTTGGTGGATTTGTTTGTAACATCTCAAATGAGGTAACCATCGACGACAGTCTACAAATATTGAATTTGTAGAGTAATTATTATGGTGCACTACCTTATATATAATATTATCTTGATTTCAGATTGTATATATTATAGACTATAGTATTATACTATAACAGACTAGTACTAGTAGACTACCTATTTTAATATGATTTATGATCTGAGTATCACATAAAATATATTTAAAACGCCAATTTAGGTTATAACGCTTGCAAAATTATGTGTATATTCTATCACACCAAAAACACTTAGTTATAACTCCGTGTAAAAAAAAAGGTAAGTTAAAAAAAAAAAATTTAGTCATGATTAAATCTTTAAATGACGTGATATAATATGGAAATTAAGTAAAATTACATTTTATAATATTACAAATACCTATAATGACAAATAAGATCAATTGTAATGTTAAATACTTAGTCAACATTGATACATTATTAATTACTGAAAATACTGTAGTGATTACTTAACTGTATTTATTTAAGTATATTTTTGCGTCCTGCTAAATAGTTAAGCATAATATATTGACTAAGCAGGCGCGCACCCAGAATTTTTGCTTGGGGGGGGGGCTTAATAATTTTTCTTTTCCCCTTACACACAAGTAAACAATTAAAACTAATTTTTAAATAACCAATTTTGTATATTATTTTCATATGTTATATAATATGTTATATTATTATGTATTTAATATTTATATAATTATATTTATAACTAAATATTATGACTAATGAATTTAAAATTTAAGTTTCCTGGGTCCCTTTTCAGAAAGAATTTTTAATACATCGGATTCTTTAATTTGTATTTCTCGATGTATGTGGAGATTTGCCAGACCATTTAAAAGTGACTGTCCCATTGTGTTCCGGAGGTAGGTTTTAATTCGCCGTAGTGTGGAAAACGACCTCTCAGCCGTACTTATACTTACTGGTAACGTTGCAAATATTATTTTAAACCATCAATTGCGTTTAGCGGTAAAGTATAACCACAGTTTTTAAATTTTTCATACCACAATTCGAATTCGGCCTTAGCGACAGAAAAACTAATTTGTTGCATATCTTTTTCGTAAAAGTCAAAAAGATTTTTAAAACTTGAAATTTGTTCATCTGTTGGATTACGTCCGGTTGGTAAAATACATTTATAACTTGTTAGGAGATTTTTATGTTTTAAAAATCGATCAGAAAGACTATTAAGAAATGAATCGACCAATGCAATAAAAATTGAACGTCTATAGTATTCTTCAATATTTTTAGATGGTGTATTACAAGAGGCAACTTCTTGTGCTTCTAAAAATAATTGTTTAAATTCATTGTCGGCATTACTTCTAAGTCGTCGGAAAATTGACACTACACTTTCTACTTGGTTAACTGCAGTTGATAGATCTATATCTGTCGTTTGAAGTATTTTACTTATTGGTAAAGTATAAGCTAATAATTTTTCTCATAACAAAGTAATGAAACAATAAATGTAGATTGACGAATACCATTTAAAAGTAAAAATGCACCTGATGAAGAGTCTTTACAGTTCCGCGATTGAATTTCTTCTAACGCCGCCACTACAGGTAATAAAAGTTGATTAAATACTATTATTGAATCATGTCGTTCAATCCATCTAGTTGGACATAGTTGAACAAGTTTAATTTTATTAATATCAGGAACTAAGAGTTGAATTTGATTTTTTAAAATAATTTGACGTTTTGGTGTATTAAAAAACGTGTATACTTTTTCTATAACACCAAAACTATTCCTAATAGGTACTACATCACCAGCATTAGACAAAGCCAAATTTAAGCTGTGTGAAACACAATGTACATAGAGTGCAGTTGGATATTGTTCTATTATAATTATTAAATTTGCCACTCATCGCTGCACCCCCATCGTAGCCTTGTCCACGTAAATAATTTATATTAATACCTACCACATGAATTCAATGTTGTTAAAAGTACATCTGCTAAATTTTGACCCGAAGTTGATTCTACTGGTACAAATTTTAAAAAATGTTCAACTATTTTAAAATTGTTTACATCGGTTAATTCAAAATATCTTATACACAATGCGAATTGTTCAATAGAGGAAATATCAGACGTTTCGTCAGCGAGTATAGTAAAACATTTAGAAAAGCTATATTTTAGAAGAACACCAGATGATAAAACTATTCCTAATAGGTACTACATCACCAGCATTAGACAAAGCCAAATTTAAGCTGTGTGAAACACAATGTACAAAGAGTGCAGTTGGATATTATTCTATTATACGCGCTTGGACACCTTTAAATATGCCACTCATCGCTGCAGCCCCATCGTAGCCTTGTCCGCGTAAATAATTTATATTAATACCACATGAATTCAATGTTGTTAAAAGTACTTCTGCTAAATTTTGACCCGAAGTTGATTCTACTGGTACAAATTTTAAAAAATTTTCAACTATTTTAAAATTGTTTACATCGGTTGATTCAATATATCTTATACACAATGCGAATTGTTCAATAGAGGAAATATCAGACGTTTCGTCAGCGAGTATAGTAAAACATTTAGAAAAGCTATATTTTAGAAGAACACCAGATGATAAAAAAATTGCCCGGAAATGGTTATCAGTGTTCTGTATTGGTAATGAGCTTAAAGCAATGTACTGTCAATTTTGTATTGCTTTTAGTTCATCTGCTACCATGTTTTCTAAGGGTTGTAATAACTTTAAACATATTTATGAAGTTGTTAAAATACACGAAGATTCTTTAACACACAGACGCTCTGTAGCAGCGTTTATTCAATCCACTAACGAAAAATCCATTGAATTTGGTATTAATAACAATTTAATGACATTAAAGAAAAATCAAATTCTAGGAAATAGCCATGTTATAAACGAAATATTTGAAATTATAAAATTACTTGGTCGTCAAAATTTACCATTTAGAGGTTCTAAAAATTCTGAAAGCTTATACAAATGGAATGATGAAGACAATCTAAATAAAGAAATTTTTTTGGAGTTGGTACAGTTTACTGCTAAACGAGATGCTACACTGTACAAACATTTGAATACTGCCATAGAAAATAGCAAACACAGAAAAGCAAATTTGGAAAAGAAATCATTGGTTGTAACTTGTAACTTTACTGTCTAAAAATACAGTGAATAAAGTTATTCTATCTATTGTGAAGTCAATAAGAGATAAAATTAAATTGGAATTAGGTGAACAACATTTTAGTTTGCAGATTGATAGTACACACAATGTTAGTGTTGTAGATCAGGCAGCAGTGTGCATCCGGTATATTTATGAAGGAGAAGTAAAAGAAAGGCTATTAGCCTTATTAAAAGTGGTAGATTCTTCTGGAAATGGCTATTATAATATGTTAAAACAACTTTTTTCTGAACATTCGATTAAGTTCAACAATATCATTGGTGAATCATTTGATGGAGCAGCAAACATGAGAGGGGAGTACTCCGGTCTAAATCCAAAATTAAAAACCAAGAAAACCCAAAAGCCATTTATATATGGTGTTACAGTCATGTACTCAATTTATGCATATGTGATACTTGTAAAAGTTTGGATGCTAAGAATTTATTTGGATTTTTGAATCGATTATCAACATTTTTTAGTGAATCATATAAACGTATGCTTGTTTGGTTACAAGAAATTAATTCAAGTTTGGGTTCAAATAAATTAAAAAAATTTCAAAAAATAGGGGAAAATAATACACGATGGTGGCCTCGAGAAAAAGAGTTGTATTGGATATTTGATGGAGATCAGTGTCTCTTTCCAATCTTTATTTGTGATTTACATCATATTTCCATTTCTAGTAACTTTGAACCTAAAGTTTGTTTTGAAGCATCTTCTTTATTACATGTTTTATGTAACTTTAAAATAATTCTTACGGCTCATTTATTTTTGAATATCTTTAAAATTGTTGGACCAACTTCTCGTTACCTTCAGACAAAAGGTATGGATTTATTATCAGATTGGGGTATGATAGATTCTATAGAACAAGAAATTGGACGGCTAAGTTTTGACTGTATTTTAAACAAATCTATAAATTTTTCGAATAATATTAATGATTTACTTAGTAGTATGAATCTCCCTGATGATATATTAGTTTCAAGTACGTTTCCTGTTACAAGGAAAAGCAGAAAAAAGAGAATGTATGATGAAATATGCGAAGATGAATCACCAGAATTAAGACTAGACAAGTTTATAGTAGATACATATCAAACAATAGCTGACCAGATAACTATAAGTTTAAATGAACGTTTTACTGACAACAATAAATTGATAGCAGATGTTCAGTACTTATTACCTAAAAATTTTAAACTAATTGAACAAATGCCAAATACTGCATTAACACATTTGGCAAATTTAGCAAATTTAGAACACATACAACTTGGTTTAGAACTTAAAAACTTTTCTAAAGTTTATCCATAGATAAACATGTCTACAATAGATAAAACTAAACAAATATACCATCAGCTTGATACTGAATCAGATGAAAATACAGATGACAATGAAGAGAATATGTATGAGAATACAGCATTTCCTTGTAAGTAAAATTAAAATAAAAAACGTTTAAAAAGTAGTGTTAATAATTATAATAATGTATAAAAGTTTTTCGATATAGACATTTATTTCCACTTATTAATTATGATTATTATTATGCTGTGCATTTGAATTAAAGTGCATTTTATTTTGGTAATAGTGAAACTTAGTTTTGTAAGTACATAATTTGAATTATGTAATTACGCATTGTCGGACTGGTTCAAAAAGGCCCAGTCTGCGATTTGAAAAAAGGGCCCAGCCAACAGGAAATGGCAAATGTTTGATCAGCCCAAAAAAAAACTCGCTCTCAATCCAATTTTCATGTACATAGTCACATAGAACATTTTTTTTTCAATACAATTTCTATCCTTCATATTTATCATACAGCACAAATAACTAAAAACAACTAAAATTCAATCATTCGATATATTAACTGGTATTACTATACTTTAAATATAAAAGGTATATTAGGCATATTTTCAAATGCTAAGACATTTTCTGCAGGTCGTTAGTAAATTGATGACAAGAGACCTATCTGAGGTTTTTTATTATCAGACAGGGGAAATCCCTCCTATTCAATCCCCCAATTACGCCACTGGGGTATACTGGCTACATCACGTTCTGTGACATCAAACATTATAAAGAAAAACGCCGATTCAAATTGTGTCAAACTGTGCACTAGTACAATACTTATCCAAAATATAATAATTCAGTTAAAATCAGTTATAATGCGAAATAATACCAAGTCATACGCATACGCCCGTATAAATAAAATATAATATTATTTAAGATCATGTCAGAGCACTATTTGTTTTATCTCTCTGGCAAACGCGCAACATAGGCATAACGCATTACGCAGAATCATTTTTTCTATGTTTTGCAGTAATCTTAGAGTAAAATCACCTATTACAAATGAGTTAGAGAATAATATTTTTGAAGGAGTGACATATCGATTTATCTAAATATTTTAATTGCCAGGTAATTATACAAGGCTCTTGATATATTGTTTCAAACACAGATGAAATATATTATTAAAAACCAATATCACAATTTTTTTTTCTAAGTATATAAAGTTTAAATATGGATAAAGTATAATAAAATGTGCAAATTATTTTGAGCTTCTTATTTTGTTGTAATTCAAAAACAAATAACTGGCAATTTCAAATTTAAATTTTATTAGTTTTATTTCTATAAATTCAATAAAGTTTCTTAATTGTTGTTCCAAAAAGCACGAAAATTTGATACAAGGCTCCTGATATTTTGGTACAATATTAAATTGAAAAATATTAAAAATACATATGTCCACATAGTTCGCGCGATGTTCACATTTATGTTTCAGTACATTTTGTGTCATATTAAATAAAGTTAAATATATTAAAATGTCAAACAGTATATTGTTTTTAATGTTCAAAATACAACACTATCTACCAGAAAATATACTGAAGTTTAAATTGAAGTATTTTTTCAACTGCTTGTTGTGTATATATTATACTTGTCTATTATTAAAATGATAATTGTTTCGCAGATCAAGAAAATGTTTTCTCTACATAAGTTACCCTACTATTTTTGCGATGAAGAAGAAAGAACATTTTATGACGATTTAGAGACCATAGAAATCGACATTCAACATTGTTGTATTGATTTGTTGAGATTTTTAAAAATTGAGACAAAATCAAATATTATGAATGACAATATTGATTTAAACTATGACGGTAAGTCTAAAGATAGCGTAGATAAATGATATGGTCTGTGCGAATATAACGCAAAAAGAACGACTGTTTAGCACATTTTTAATGTCGCACTATTTACCCTTTTTTACATAAATCAACCAAAGATCCTTAGTAATTGATGTTTAAATCAAAAGTTAAATACCACCCGGGTCAATCACTTTCATATCTCTTTATCCGATCCTGCAGTATACATACGATATCGATCGATCGTATTGGGGCAAATAATAATAATGCTCGTGAATGAGGGTAGGGATTTTGAGCTCTGAAAGTATTTATTCAAATAGTAGTGCCAGGTCGTTTGGAAGATTTCTCCAAATATGTTGTTTAATATATTTGTTATAATGGTCAAACTTTATTTTTTTTTTTAGAATACTCGATGATTGAGTAGGTCACAGGTAGTTCGCCGAAAGTCACGGGTTCCCATGGACGTGAACCGTATGCATGCTGGCGGCTGCCAATAGACAGCTCGAGTGCCTTAAGTACGCACACGACCGGGGCTGTCCATGGGACGAGTCGGTATGTGAGTACGCCACGGCCAACAGCAACCTGGAGTGCCTTAGGTACGCCCGAGAAAAGGGTTGTCCATGGGACTTGTACGCGTGTGAAAAAACGGCCAGAAGTAGGCAACTTGTGTGTCTGGCGTACCTTAAAGAGAACGGCTGCCTTTGGGACATGTCCACGTGTGACGAGGCAGCGAAAACGGGCACGGCCAATGTCTGGAATACGCGCTGGAAAACGGTTCGCGTAGAACGGACGCATTCCATGTTAATATTATCTCAATGTATTATCATGATAACCAAAAATTCATTGTCTATCCTGGTTGAAATCGAAATTTTGTATTTTTTCATTTTAATTCAGGTGAAATCGGGTTATGCAACTAAAGTTGGAGTTCATCCGAAGTTAACAGCCTCAGAAAATGACTAGACGGTTTTCAATAAAAGTGTACAGTGTAACCTTAGTGTAAATTTTAGTATATTGCAGTTGTTCATGATTTAGACATTTTATATAGCATACAATAAGACGTAATAGTTGAA